GGTGGGGCGGGGGGGAGTTAAATAATTATTCCGATGGCATTCGATCGAAATGTCGGGATCAGCCCGCGTGTACTCAACCCCTCTTTGGTTTCTTTCCGAGAGCCTCGCGAATAGTGCTATTGTTGAATTTCTTGCATTCTGGGGAAAAAAATTCTGATGTGGATTGTATCTGGAAGCCTCCGGCAGGTGGCCGCTTAACTAGCTCTCGCACCGCTAAACTTGGAAATTGTAAAAGAATAGAATCCCTGCCCACCCCCGTTGTACCCTTTCCTACCCCTCTTTTCCTCTTATTCCGGTCTTTGTTTTCCTGTACACATTTACCACTAAATTTTAAATCCTGTCAAAAAGTTTTTTTCTTCATATGATATATATTTGTTTACATCCTCGATCCAAATTGAAGAAAATCATTGTTATTACTTAATTTGTTTTTTGTTTGTGTTTTCAGAGGAAGTTCGCACTACAAGATCTACAAGAGCTTCTGCAAGACGGGGTAAGAAAGCGACAACTCCAGCTCGCGGTCCTAAAACGCGGAGAGGGCGAGCTGCTGCAGCTTCATCAGGAGACTCAAGTGTGAGTTCACTGTTCATTTCTTTTTACTCTTAGTGATTGTGTGTGGTGTGTTAGTTTGTCATATGACATGGCCCTTCTGTTTTCTCTATAAATTTGATACTTTCTCTCACATTGTCAAATGTTATGCAAATGCAGTCGAGATCACTCGGAGAACCCTTCTACCCCAGTGTCTAAAATAAAACTTCAGTAAGCTCCTTGCTTTTGGTACTTTAGCTGCACTTGTAAAATTTTGTTTGCCTGAATAGTATTTTACACCTAGCTAATGTGTGTTTTTTGTTCTTATTTCAGATGGAGGTTGATGAAATGGATCAACTAAATGGAACATCAAATGAAAGTATGTTTTAATTCATATCTGTGCTAACCCGACTTTTTCCAAACCATTAAATTTTACTTTAAGGCAATTACTAAATAATTATTCTCATAATTGTATTTCCAGATGGTAATTCTGATGCTGTTCCTGAGCTTGATGATGCACCCCCTCCACCAACAGTCAACAATGTTCAGCCTTCTCCTATTCGGACTGGTATTAAACTGAAAAGTAACAGTATAAGTGAAGAAGTGTCTGAAGATCAGGTATATCATTTGATTTCTGCAGGGTTCACTTGTCCATTTTAGTCCCAAGATAGTCTAACATCTTGTGATGCATTTCAGACTAATACTGAACTTCCTGAAGAAATGCAACCAACAACTGAAATATCTGATTATGTGATTTCGGCTGCTGGTGATGAGAGCATGGATGAACCAAGGCCAGCAGTTGACGAGGAAAGTGCAGAAAATCAAGAGTCAATTGAGAGAGAGACAGAACAAAATATTGCGCCTGCAGACACTTCAGAAGTTGAGAATGGTGGTAAGTTTCATGTGACAATTTTCTCTTGCTTTTTTTTTTTTTTTTTTCCCCCCCTGCTCTGGTTACTGAACTCACTTTTTACAATTTATGTTCTTAGGTGTTGAAGGTGATACAGAGGTGCCTGTGAAGAAGACAAGAGAGGCATCCAAGCGGAAACTTCCAGTTGATGGTGAATATGACCCAAGCTCCCCGACTTCCGAAAATGAAAACGAAGAGAACCCTGCCAAAAAAGCTGCTCTCTCGGGTTCATCTCCTAAGAAGGATAAGGAAGTGAGTTGTGGTCTTTTCTCGGTTTTCTTTGATGTTTTATTAGTTGTCTATGTTTGACTTCAACATTTCTTATGACCTGTTTAGGCCAAGGCAAAGCTACTCCCAGAGCTTGAGAAATACTGGAAGGCGGTGAAAGATGACCCTGCTGACTTTACAGGATGGACTTACCTACTGCAATATGTTGATCAAGAGGTAATTTCCCATAAATCCCCCTTCCTCCATTGATTTGTGAGAAATATTTGATGTTCCTCTTGTCGTAGAAATACTTACAATTTTTTATTTTTTTTTTCCTCCTTAGAATGATGTGGAAGCAGCTAGAGAAGCTTATGATGCCTTCTTGTCTAACTACCCATACTGCTATGGCTACTGGAGAAAGTTTGCTGACTATGAGAAGAAGAAGGGAAACAAGGATAAATGTGAAGAGGTAGGATGCTTGTAGATAAATAGGTATTCTCCTCCCCATCTTCTGGTATGGTTGGTTAGTTATCAGGCAATTTCTTCTTTCTGCACTCTTCTAGGATGTAGTATTGACTGCTCTATTGTATTGGCTGAAACACATGAAGTCATGTAGAGTGACTGTATTTTCGTGTGCTGGTTTTTTTTAAAGTGGAATGTGTGAATGACAAAGCAAGCACTTCTTTTATTTATCTTGATTGAAGTTGGTAACTTGATATAAGTGTGGACATTTACGGGCACATTGAGCAAGGCATTATTTACTCCTTAGGGGAGGCAATGTTTCAGTTAAATTGGAGTACTTTGCTTCGGATATGTCACATTTTCCATTTTCAGCCACTATAATATGTTGGTCTGCTTTGGTCACAATTTTTCACAATCAAAACGGCATCAAATTTGGAATGAGATTGCTCCTTTTTTGTCTCACTGGCAAAATGTTTTTTCCTACAGCTGTGTCTACAGGGGCAGCTTCCCGAGGTTACGTTAACAGCTTTAAATGAGCCCAGTTTATACGTGAGACCAACCTTTGTGGTAATAGGTTCAAATTTCTGTGTGCGATGAACCGTGGTTTTATTTACCATTGTGACTGATTGTAAATGACATTTATTATCTTTAAGCCTCATCTTATTACATTGCCTGTGTGCCTGTTATGCTAGATTTAAGTTCTGTTGTAAGTCTGGTAGTAGTTGTAAGTGGTCTTCTATTTTTGCGCTATGCATGATCATGTTAAGATCATGTCGTATTGGGCGGTAAATTTTGGATTATTGGTGGCGTTGATGGGCTTCTCTACGAAGACGGTGGCCGCACCTGGCAGCAGGTGTGCGCTCGGTGCCACCAACAGGCGGATGGAAGGTGCCCCAAAGACAGCGTAAGGTGATTGACTGATCTACTCAGATAATCATTGCAGATTTTATCACGGTGGTTACACAGCTAGCCTTTCTCCAGGCCATGTATCTTCATATAAGCTTCAACAGTCGTATGTATGATCAGGTTTTCGAGCGCGGTCTTAAGGCCATCCCGCTTAGTGTCGACCTCTGGATCCACTACTTGAACTACTGCAATACTGAGCATGGCGCTGATGAAGACTTCCTCAGAGGAGAGTACGAGAAAGCATTGGATGCTTGTGGCATGGAGTTCAGGTAAGTTATGCTCTAAGAAATTTCTTATCACACCATGGAGTTACCCCCCTCTATTGTTATTGATATCCCTATTTTCTGCAGATCTGATCGACTGTGGGAGAGTTATATTAAATGGGAAACAGCAGCTGAACGATTGCAGAATGTGACAGCCCTGTATGATAGGCTCCTAGCTACTCCCACTCAGGCATACACAACTCATTTCGAAAGGTTTGTAATGCTTATTTTGTCATTGTTTTAACTTGATACCTATGCTCATCATCCTCCTAATGGGTTTTCAATCTTAGCTTTCAGGCACATGTCAATGCACATCCACCAACTAAAGTTCTCTCCATTGATGAATTCCTAAAAGTTCGTCAGGAAGTCTTGCAGCAGAAGAAGTCATTTGAACAAACTGCATCTGATGATGCTGCACCTCCTGGTGAAGATTTAGATGCTCCTCCAGGAGAAGAATCGGAAGCAATCAAAGCTGCTGTAGGTGGCATTTTTCATACTCTCAGTATCTCTTGTTGTTTTTAAGTTCTCTAAGTTCATTATTTCTTTACAGAAAAATGATGAGGAGACCACTGCAGTTAGGGAACGTATCATCTCAATCCGAAAGAAAGTTCATAGTCAGACTGTAGATGCAGTATCTGCTCGATGGAACTATGAAGAAGGGGTATGTAGACCCTCACTACTGTAATATCTTAACTTGATGTTCATTTTCTTCACCTATCTGACTGCATCTTTTGCTTTAATAGATTAAAAGACCCTACTTCCATGTTAAACCCCTGGAGAGATGCCAACTGAAGAACTGGAAAGAATATTTGGATTATGAAATTGAACAAGGCGAAGTCAAGAGAACAATTGTTCTATTTGAGCGTTGTCTGATTGCATGCGCATTGTATGAGGAATTTTGGATAAAGGTTTGTGTAATAACTCGCACACTTTGCTTTTTCTTGTCGATACTTGATTATTAATCCTCACCATACTTTCAGTTTGTGAAGTTCCTTCAAAGCATAAAAGAAGGAGATTGGACTGATAAAATCAGAGATGTTCTCAGAAGAGCATGCACAATTCATCACCCTAAAAAGCCTAGTTTGCATCTGTTTTGGTCTGAATTTGAAGAATTGCAGGGTACTTATTTTAGGTTACTTGACTTTTTGGTGAAACTAGACCGTACTTTTGGAATTTTAAAAGATTAATTTCTTCTGTTTTAGGCAATTATGAAAAAGCTTATGATGTTCTTTGCCATATCGAAAAACTTGTGCCAGGAATGCTGCAAATAGTCTATAGAAGAATCAACCTGGAAAGAAGACGAGGTAATTTGCATAAGGCTAGTGAATTATATGAACACTACATTACAAACTCGACGAACAAAAATATTGTTGTTAATACTGCAATTAAATATGCAAGATTTTGTTGGAAGGTAAGTTGTTTGGAGTATACATAAGAGTTCTTTATTTCTGAAAACTTACTGGGAAGTAATTACTCATGATTTATTTTCTTTTGCTTCAGGTGGAAAATGATGTTGAAAAAGCCATCAGTATTTTAAAGAAGGCATTGGAAGCTGAGAAGGTATGCAGTTCTTAATTTTTTTCCCTTACCCCACAGAATTTGTAAGTTTTTTAAAGTTATATCTGTAATTATTTCTGTTTTCAGGATTCTACTCGCCTGTATCTTCAACTTGTCAGCATGGAGATGGAGCGTGTCCCCATGAATGAAACAGCCATCATTGAGATTCTTGATGAGTGCATTTCACGCGATATTGACGCTGACCAGAAGATTGCATTTGCTCAGCGGAAACTGGAATTTCTGGAAGACTTTGGATCAGACATCTTGAGGTACTTATCTTTTTAGATGTCTATTACATTCATGATTGTTCAATATTTTCACTGCATCTTAATACATTATTTATTTCAGCATTCAAAATGCTCACGATGAGTTCCAAAAGATATTGAAACAGTGCAAAGGAAAGAAGAAATCTGATTCTGACAAAGGGTTCGTATATTGCTTTGAAACCTTCTAAGCTTATGATAGATGTTACCTCAATACTGATTGATATTTTGTTGTAGCTCTGCCAATTTACCTGCTACAAATTATCCTCCTCCAAACTACCAAAATGGAACTTATGCACAGGTAAGTCTTTTAGGTCTCATTTTAGTGCTGAAGTGGCAGCCAAATTATCAATTTTAAACTGAACCTTTTTTTCCAGGCTGGTTACACCGGTACAGCTGCACCTTTCCCACCCACACAAGCTGGAGCCACTGCAACGACAGCTGCCACAGGAACTACAGCCACCGCTTCAACCTACAGCCAGTATAGTCAGGCATATAATCAAACTGGTGACTATCAAAACTATCAGAACTGGGGTTACTCTCAACCAGGATATAGTGGTTACAACCAGACTTGGGCTGGTTATTACAATTATTGATCATATTGTTAAATGTCATTCTTTCCTACTCTCGCACATTAACTGCATCTGACTTTTTTTTTTTTTTTAAACATTACACACTTAAGGGCGGAAGTGTTTCATCCAACGTTTATTATGTCGTCCATTTTTTTACTTATAGCTTAGTGCTGAGGTTAATTTTTAGCTTTCAGTGTGACAAAAATTTATCCTCTTAAAAGGTCGCTTAATTATTTTTTAGCAGAAAAAAAAAATAAATCTTAAAAAAAGCATTTCAGCAATCTAGTTACTGAAGAGTTAATACCTAGTCCTGATTGACTTTGACAATTTGAGTGGTAGTTTAAGGAATTCCCACATCAATGTGAACTGTAATGCTGGCATTTCTCTTGCAAAATAAAATGAACTTGGAACCTTATCTTTACGGCTAATCTGGTTTCTACTTCCCATATGATTCACCGACACGTTTCTTGATATGTACAGCACCAAAGCGTTCGGAGTGGAGGGTGACATCAGAACAGCCCAGCCGCATGTAGTAGCATCATGTACCTTTGCACATGTGGCACTGGTTTGTGCGTTGACCTGAATCCCTATAAAAAGGGAATGTAGGGCACTTACTGTCAAGAGGCTGTCAGAAGCAGACGATTCTGTATGTTGTGAAATCGTAATCTCTTACAACGTACTTGATTGGAAGACGGGGGTAGAGAAATATCAAGTGGTATGGCAACAGTGAGCATGACAAGTTTTAATACAACTTGGGTGATTTGGGGGCAGTTACTGTCATTCATTGGATAGTTTGGTTTAGCGAGCACAGTTTTAGTAAAACCTTGATTTCCAGAGATGATGAGCTGCCAGTTGGCCTGCCTTTAAAAGATGCCATTCGGACCATTTTGAAAATCCAAATTTCCCATGAGATATAGGCATGGTGACTG